ATAGTTAAATGAGATCTCTGTATTGTTGTGCAGGTCATTATGTCAGTGGGTGCCTGCTTTGTGTTGAGCACACATAGAGACGTCAGTGGACTATCAGGGGACACTGGTGATGGAAGTAAAATGAACACGATCTGTGTTTTACTCTTTGGCTCACGGACACCGTGTGGAATCTGAGTTTTAGCAGTTTTTAAAATTGCAGGATCGCCACCTCAGACAGAAGTACAGATCTGTTCTGGTCCCTGAGGAGGATTCGGTTTATAACAGAGGGCGTCTGTGGACGTTGACTGCAATGACAACTCATTGACAAGACATCAGCAAAAAAGCTGTTCAGACACTGAAGAATACGGTCTGGCATCCCCACCGTTCGCCGGTCATGTAATGTGACTTTATCAGCAAAGACATTTTAAAATGCTGTCTGCAGCTGAGCAATGCACCAGCTTTAATCCTGCCACATTGCAGCCAAGTTGTCATACACACTGATATACAGTCACACACAAACATTCTCAGATTAACCTAATCAAGTTAATCTGATTAACACACATTATAAAATCTACTAATCCCTGCTCGTCCTTCTACAGAGCTGAACGCTCACCAAGAGAAGCACAAGTGATCATCTCCTCAGTTATTAGACCAGATCCACATTATCCACAAACAAAACTGTTTCCCTTCCCTTCATTTACTACTTTATATAAAATCGTAGCGGTTGAGCATTCAGCATACAGATGAGTGGCCTGTCACTTAGGATAAGTGTTTGCTGGATTTATTGGACCCTTACAGCAGTTACTATTTATATAAATATATATCACATTTATGCATAAGTGAGTTAAAGCGTTCTTTTAGAAAACTGGACGGCAGCACTGATTCCAAGTCTTAGACATATTGACTTCAGTAGTCACCAACATAGCCCAGGTGTGGTTTTACAGTTACAGTTTTACAATTTCCTTCTTGGCAAACAGCATAAAAAATACCAAAAAAGCTGCACAGTTTTGAAATAATTCACAAATTAAGAGCTTAATTTGCAAAAAAGAACAATTAAAAAAAAATCTTTCACCCAAATAATAGGCTATATAAATTCTTGTAATTCTACAGTGTATTACAACATATTACACAATGCAATGAGCTAAGCTTGTATCATAGTAGGCTGCTGCCCTCTTGCCTGCAGATCCGGTACAGCACAGTGTTGTTGACTGGCAGCCTGCACTTACAGAGAAAAACATGCAGTTATCATTGTGCAGAGAGAAAGATACGACTAAAAAAATAAATGCAATAAAAATAGTTCTAGTTAATGATTTTCCACATATGTGCCTTTATTTTAACGCTAACACAGTATCTTCACACACAAATACACACAAACGCGCTAGCTGCACTAGACTCTGTAAGCACTTGTGCGTATCTGACATGGGTGTGGATTTGTACGGACTGTCTGCCTTCCCAGATGTCATAAAAGTGACCACTGGTTCCATTGCATAACCTTTGACCTTTCCAGATGGTGACAGTCCCTGCCTCGATCAGAGGACGCTCAAGGAACATTTTCTGTGTGTTGAGTGTGTGTGAGAGAGTGTGTAGTGTTCCTGAACTAGCAAAAATGCGTCCCATTGATTAAAAATCTGTTTAATCTTGAATTATTTATCTTTTGAAACTTTTTAAGGAGACGCTGAAGTTTTCCCGTTTTATCGTTCTTCCTTAGTGAACCATCAACTTGAAATCATCAGTGATTTTTGCCGTGGTTCAGTCTGCTGTTGTCACTTTTCTAAACCTGCTGATGGAGAGGAGAAAAGGAGAACCTGCTCTGTCTCCTTTATGGTAATATATTCATTACTGTCATTAACCTTTCGGCTACACGTTCTCCTTTATCTAATTATCCCCCTGCTACCAGTGAACACTCACACACACTCGCACACACACTCGCACACTGCTCTCAGCTGCTTCTCCCCACACACCACGTCCCCACCTCAGCCACCCCACATGTTGTTTGACAAATGAATGGTCTCGCCTCATCAAGCACATGACAATGTACACAGATGGGAGGTGGAGACAGGGACCCGTGCCAGCTCTAAACACGCACACAGAGCGAAATCCTCGACATATGTTGCAGTTATTCAAACAGCCATGCTCACAGACACTTCCAGACGCTCGGGGAGTATGGCTAAACAGGAGGGTCTTTTTTTTTTTTGAGCAGCAATCAAGGAGAAAATATCTGATTTATTGATTTGTCTCCTCCTTTGTGCTGTTAATGGGGCTGCAGATTGCACGAGTATCAGCGAGGAAGAGACAGACAGATGGACAGTCAAATCAAATATCACCAGGCTCTTTTGTCTGATATTGTTCTGATACTTTTAGTGTAGCAGTAATACCTTAAATTTGATTTGATCATTTTTTTGTTACCTATTTGTAACTTGTTGTATTTCTCTTCAGAGTTTGTAGAGTTTCATGTCTGGTTTATCTGTTATTGTTGGTTTCTGTTGGGAGTTTTTCCTTCTCACTGTCGCCAAATGCACGCTCAAAGGGTTTCCCGTGATCATTGTAGGGTCTTAAGGTAAAGTATAAAGTGCCACGGACTCTTATGTTAAAATATGCAACTTTACAGTATTAAAAAACCCATTTAAGCCAGGTCTCTATGGAGAGTTTCCCCGTTCACAGTTCAGTGACTCTGAGTGGAGTTATTTTATCCTGGATATCCTGGATCCTTTTAAACTGGATAACTCAGTTATAGTTCAAACGGTGTGGCCATGTGAATGACAGACCTGCACAGCTGAAACTTTTAGGTCTCCTCCTCTCATGAAACTGGACCTCTTCACTGTGTGTCTGTTGTTGTAGTCTTTTTAATTGATTATCTACTTAATACCATGTCTTGGACTGAGTTCAGTATTCAAACTACTACTACTAGAGCTGAAAATTTCTAAAGCTCATTTTAATGCTTTTCTTTTTTCCAAGGCATGATATGCAACAGGCGATAACAATGAAACTGTTCTTCACATGTGTAACATTTACTTTTTTACATATTTTTGTACCAGTGAAATAACTGAAGAAGAAAAACTGCCTCTCCAGCTCCAACCAGTGATTTTATTTCCGAGCTTACAGACACCGATACAGTTATTCAGCAGTTAGATAATATAACTGTTTTTTTTCTCTAATATTAATAAAAGAGATCCATAAAATGAGTTGGAACAAATCACCAGGATTACAACTTTATACAGTTAAAGCCATACTCTGTTCTCTGCCACCTGTATTTCATGTTTACCTACTCATTGTGTAATAAATTAGTTATTTAAAGTTTTACCTAAACTATCGGGTCATTTCCTAAGATAATAAATTCTACAACACAAAGTTATCCTCAATGAAAAGACGAAAAAGTAACACTGCTGTGGCATCATAATAATAAACATGGTAGGTTGCGATATTGCACCAGGGTTTGTCGTGATGAACAGAGAACGAGCCTTTGTCACTTTAGGCTCTCCCGTGATTCTTGGTGTCTACGTGATGGCGATAAATTCTGATATGACCATAAACATAAATAACATCAAACATTTCAAGCTGTACATAGAGGAAAAATAACCGAGCGCAAATGTAATTACATGATTGTTGCAGTGGTGAGCAAAGCTACAGTGCCATGAAAAAGTATTAACCCATTTAGTTTTAGATGTCTTAGTTTTTTGGCATATTTGTCACATTTAAATGTTTCAGATCATCAAATAAATTTTAATAGTAGACGAAGATAACCAGATTAAATACAAAATGAGGTTTTTAAATGTTTTTATCTTTTCTTAAAGGTAAAAAGCTATCAAAATCTACTTG